AAAACAAATGCCGCTAGCGAAGATTTAAAGTGTTACATTGTGTGTGTGTGTGTGTGTGTGTGTGGGCGTAGTGTATGTGTGTAGTAGCAAGGTGTAATGGGGAGAATCAGTTGTTTGCTGGCTGCTGTAGATAAAATGGTTATCTCCGCAAACAGGCAAACATAAACACTCACACAACCACACATAACACTTTGCCATGACACACTTGCACACATTCATACACACACGTACATATACACGCAAAAGGGATGTGTTAGTGCAGCGTTCTTTATTGTGTGCTGAATAAATTATTAGTTTACAATAAAAAAACCAACAACAACAACGACATCAACAAATACTCAAACACATTGATAATTTTGTGTATTGAGTGACTGTTGTAGACACAGTCACCGTTATACGATACTAACTGTTCCTACGCAGAGCAAGCAGCCAGTCAGCCAGCCAGCCAAGGAAACAAGCTCTAGCCAAGGTGCAACAAAAAGTGTTCAATTTGATTGAAAGTACAACAGTATCGCACACGGCGGCGGTGGCGGCAGATGATAACAAAGTGAAACTGGAACTGAAAACACACAGCTTTAAAGCATAAGCAAATTTACTACAAGAAGGTGTAAAATTTAAATAATTAAATTACGGTTTGAGATCTGCGGTGCAAAGGCCGCAAACATCTGGTGTAGTTGTAATGCGATTTTCGATTGTGATAGTGAATGCGAGAGGAATTGTTAATTGCAAAAAGTAGCTGATTGTTGGCAACTATATAAGGGTGATATTATTAGTTATAATTTTTGCTACAAGAAAAGCTTGTTGTTGTTATAGCGGATGTGCTGCAATACTGCGGAATCTACCCGAAAATCCTGATTTTGATTAATTTTAAATTCAAAAATAAACAAAATGAAATAAAGCAAAAACAAATTTAAGGCTTTTAAATAAGTATAATGAACATAAATAAAATAATCTAAAATAAAATAATGAAATTAAATTCTATAAAACAAAATAACATAAAAAGTACAGATATTAAATAAACTAATTTAAAATAACATATAAAAAATAATAACATAAATAATATAAAACAAAATACAATAAAATAATATAACAAATTAAATGAAAATGAAATAAAAATTAGTTATTTTTAAAACAAAATTAATTAAAATAAAACTGAAAAAAAAATTTAAATGAAATCTAATAAAATAAAATAAAAATATAACAAATTAAAAATAAAATCAAGAAGGCAAAATAAATAAACTAAAATATAACATAATTAATCAAATTAAGCAAAATAAAATGAAACAAAAAAATATATAAATAAAATAAAAAAGGAAAATAAAAAAATAAAATAGAATAAAAAAAATAATTAAAATAAAATAAACTTAGTTTAAATTCAACTAAAATAAATTAAATGGATCATTGTAAAACAAAACAAAATAAAATTAAATAAAAAGGAATCAAATAAAAATAGTATAAAATTAAATTAAACATAATTGAATTAAATAAAAGAAAAAATAAAAATAATTAATTTGAATAAAATAAAATAAAATAAAACAAAATAAATCAAAACAATATTAAATTAAACTTAATTTGACTAAATTTAATAAATTTTAATTTAAATAATTCAATAAAAAGAAATAAAATAAACATATTATAAAATTAAATTATATATAATTAAGTCAAATAAAAGAAAAAAAATTAATAAAAAAATTTAATGGAATATAAAAAAATAAAATAATATAAATTGAAATAATATAAAATTAAATTAAATTAATTTAAATTAAGATAATTTTAAAAGATTAGAATAAAATAAAATAAAAAGTAACAAAATAAAAATTATATAATATAAAATTAAATAAGCCAATTAAAATCAAATAAAATGAAATAGCATAAGATAAATTAATAAACTTAATAAATATAAATAAAATTATTAAATTAAATTAAATCGAAATAAATTTAATTAAGTTAAGTTAATTAAAATAAATATAAAAATAGAAAAAAATAAAATTAATACAATGAAACAAATTAAAAGCAAAACAATATAATTTAAAATAATATAAAATAAAGTAAATAATATTGTTATTGTTTCACGCCAAAATCTGTTGTTTATTATTTTAATTTTAAGTTTAAGTGTGTTTTCGAAAATCTACATTCGCTCTATATTTTGTTTATATTTATTTACAAGAAATAATATATCTTAAAGGTAAGCATAAGAATACCAATTATTGTAAATTCTCGTTTTACCCTTGTATACTTAGTGCTATAATAAAATGAGAAAATTAAACAACTGATAGCAATTGCCTGTACTCTCTTCAATGGGAATACCGGTACGGCATGCCCACCGCCACACGGAATTTTTTTATACACATATCTGATAAAATGATTTAATATATTGAAGAAGCCTTCTGTATGTGTGTATTTATTTGCTTATCGCTTTAAAATACTTTTATTTAAAGTGATAGCAATTGTTTGTACTCTGTATTGTTGTTGCGTGTCGTTGGCTGTACTCCAATACATAATACATGAATATATGCTCTATGAAGCCGCTCTTGAATCGGTGCTTGTTGTATTTGTGCACCATCGATGCGTGTAAAGTTTACATTTCACCAAATTGACCGATAATTAAGCTGCGCCTGCGGTATTTCAAGTGCGACAGCAAATAATTCGATTTCAATTAAATAAATTAGCCCAAACATATACATCCATATATATAACAGTATGTATGCTCTCTAGTGAAGGAGTGAGTAAATGGATATATAAATTTCTGTGCAGAGAATTTCTATGATAAAGTGCAATGTTGCTACTACTCAAAAAAGCAGTTTAAAAATTCAAAAAAAATGAAAAAAAATTTCTAATAATTTAATATTTTATAACTTAATTTTTCAAATTATTATAATTATGGTAGATTGGTTTTTCGCAGATTTGAAAAAAAATTTTATTTTTTTTTTAATTTAAGTAAATCAAGCATTTCATTTTCTAATAATATTATACAAGAAGTAAATTTGTCGGAGTAGGCATTTTTAACGCCCAAAGGGGCTGACGAATGGCTGACATTTAACCACTGTTCGGACTTCATCTCTATCGCAGAAATACCGATCCGTTATAGAGTACTATTATATTTGAGCTTCATCCGGCATTGAGATGACAAATTTGTCGGAGTTGGCCAGATTTGTGAAAAAATATTAATGGATTTTTCACCACTGCAAACTACTATCTGATATGGCTAACATGGTGAATGAATTTTTTGTCCCAAACCTCAACGAAAATCATCGAATACCCAGCCATGGCCGAATGCCTGTTGGCAATAGTGTTTCTGAGTTGAATTTCAAGGTTGACATTATTATTGTTGTTAATACTGGTCCCTGTATAGACGAAATTATCAATTCTGCAGTATGCGTATATATTAGAGCTCAAGATAACCGGTTATCGAGCACTTTGGGGGACCTACAGTTTACATTAACCCGCCTCCGAAATGCTTAGGAGCTTTATTTCATGTCCGGAATTCACTCGGAGGGGTTGACATTCCCAGCCGAGGGGCGACCGCAATTAGAAAATTTAACTTAATTTTTATTTAAACTTAAAGTCATAGAAAAAATTTTTGGGTTCTTGGAAAATTGATGAACGATCGGAGCACATAATCATGCGAAAAGTGGAGCAAAAACCGCAAATAACGATCGTCAAATTTTGGATGTAAATTTGAAGCCAAGTGGAGCGAAATTCGGCCTTTTTCCAACAACAAGCCGACTTTTAAATTCTACAAGGGCAAAGACTCCAAGCATCAGGAGGCTAATATGAGGACTTGGCTCCTATACAAATGCGGCAAGTTCATCGTTATGCCTCCTCAGAGCCCCGATCACAAATCGACAACCCCTCTAATCTGCCATACACAAGATTCCATTGGAATATGACCTGCCCGTTCGAGGTCCAACATGTAGTACGTGCTAAGGGGCGTCACACTAATATATATATTATATTAGTGATAAGAAATTATAATAAGACGTAAATTAATGTAAAAAGTGTGCAAACTGACAATTTGTTGTTTTTTTCTTTGAATATTACTAATTTTGTTAATTTTTTTTAGTGATATTAACTAAAAAGATGTTGTAAAATCATTTTGCATTGAAGAAAATCCAAACACAACAGAAGTCTGTGATTTTTTCACGTAACGTAAAAGAAATTGTATATACATTTGTATATAAAGGGTACATTTTGTATATAAAGGTACTTTTTAAGAGCTATAGGAAAGTTAAAAAAAACACATAAATCTAAAGTTGTCCTCCAATGCGTCAATTGAAGTGGGCCTGTCTGTATAGAGATTAGATTTAACATAGTCCCAACAAAAAATAGTCTAAATGCATTAGATCGCACGATCTAGGCCGCTAATTGACAGGTCCCGAACGTGAAATAAAATGTTCACCGAACTCGCTTCTCAATAAGTCCAATGCTACGCGAACTGTGTGGCATGTGGCACAGTCTTGTTGAAAACATATGTCATGCAAGTCAAGCTCTTGCATTTTGGGCAAAAAAAGTTTGATATTATCTCACGACTCGCCTCATATTTGAAGAAGTATGGTTCGATGATGCCACCAGCCCACAACCACACCAAACTGTGACTTTTTCTGCATGCGTTGGTAGCTCTTGCAATGGTTCTTGCTGATCTTCACTCCAAAATCGGAAATTCTGATTATTAACGCACCCATTTAGACAAAAATAAGCTTCGTTGCTGAACGCAATTTTTTTTTTTTTTTTTTGAACTTTCTTAAGAGAGCACTCATTTTAATAATGAAATTCAATAATTGGCAAGCGTTGTTTGCTTGTAAGACGATTCAAAAAATCACCATTTAATAACATTTTTCCTGATATCACAGACATATTTAATAAAAATAAAAAATACTGTGTAATAATTATATGCCTCTATATATATCCATATATAAATATAAATTGTAGTATAATATTTGCGACTTAATTTTATTTTTTATCTAATTTATTTAACTTATATTTTCCTCTTCTACTTACAGCTACTCAGTGCTAATGCGTTTTCCACACACTATCACTAAATTTGCCAATCTTATCTGACAAGTGAAGTGAAATAAATCAAATAACGTAACTAATCTAACGTTAACGTATTTCAAAATATAATGAGTGACAGGCAGTTACAGCAGCAAACTGCCCGGAAATCTGAGTCAACTTAATTGAACTTTACCTGTGCTAGTAGTAATGTGGAGTAGACAATTAGCTGTAACTCCACAAATAATCATCTCTTCTTATCTCCAACGCGCGCGCTGATAAAAATTAAATTAAACCGATAAAGTGAGAGTCAATATTTACCGAATTAGTGCAACTAGAACTATTAACGTCTGCGTTTGTGTTTTGATAAAATGTTTTAATTGCACAGTGCCGTCGGAAAGAGTGTGTTGTAAATGGTAGCTGAACTACAAAACAACTACCTTATGAATATATAATATGTGTGCAATCGGCAAAAGTGGTGGCAGTTAATTTTTGCGCGTGAAAGCAAAAGCAGTTAGTGATTTACATGTGAATGCATTTTCATACATATTTATATTTGTTATTTAACTACTGGCAACAGCGCAATATTTAAAAGGCAGCCCAAAGTGTGCATTTACATACGTGTTTTTATAGTGTATTTGTGTGTGCACACGCTTATTTATGTATGTCTGCGCGTATAAGTGTAAAGCATAACAACCGCAAACGCCAATAAAATTTCAACAAAACAAAAAAAAAACTAAAAAAAAAACCAAAAAAAGCAAACCGCTTAAATGATGTTGCACTCCATGAAATTGTGCGCTGATAAACTTAATGGCATAACTGCGGCTGTGGCAACACCTACCAACACGGCGGTGGCAGCAGTAGCAGTAGCGCCTCACCATCATCCGCTGGTTGTTAATCCCGCAGTCACATTGCCAACACCTGTTGCTATTGTAAATGCAAATGCCAATGCCGCCATTTCGGATAATAATAATTTAAATAGTGCCATTGCTGCTAACACTTTAGCAACAACATTAACAACACCATCGGCCAACGCCAACGCCAACAACAACAACCTAGTGAACACTAGCCACATGAACAGCAACAGCCTTAACAACAACGGTAACGGTATTTTGCATCGGCAACTTCATCAGTATCAAGGCAAATATTTGGACGCACCACAGCCGAGTGCTACGAAATTCCATCCATATTTGCGTCCAACAGCAGTGGTGGGCAATGAGAATTCATGCGCTGGTGTTGTTGCTGTTGCTGCTGCTGCTGCATGCCCGCCAACTGTAATTGGAGCAGCGGGAACGGCAACGCCAACGGCAACTTCAGCGGGGGCAAGTACATTTGCGGCACCACTGTTTCCCGCATTTCAAAGTACACTAAATTCCAACATTGCCACCGTCAACAACAATAACAATAATAGCAACAGTAAAGGGCCAACAGTAACCACAACTGGTGTTAGCGGCGTTGACGTTGCTAACGTTACAACATCACCGAGTGGATTACTGAGTTTGCCAACAAAACAACCGACATCTGTTGCCACCAATGTTGCCAACAGTATTGCAGCAGCAGCAACAACAGCGGGATACCTTAATACGCAGGCGACGTACGGCAATGTTAACGGTAACAACTATACGACAGCGCCTCCTGTAAAAAGGTAAGTAGAAGCTCAAACGAGCCTTGCAATTGATGATTTTACTTTTGGTTATGAAAATTTGTGTGGAAAATATATTGAGGAAAAGCTTGCGAATACCGAATTCAGATTACAGTAATTTACACATAGATTTCGCTTCGGCCACAAGATTCTATATGCTTGCAGTACTCTACAGCAACTACAATTAGTTGCAACTTAAATTTTGAAGAATAACAGTGGCGGCCATAATGGTCAAGTGGTTAGAATTGCTTACTGGTATTCTAAAAGCCAGTTTCGATTGGTTTCTAATTGCGGTCACCCCTCGATTGGAAATTTCAAGTTATCCGAATGCATTTCTAACATGAAATTAAAAGCTCCTCATGGAACTTTGGCCATTTGGAGGTGGTTTAGTATAAGCTGAAGGCCTCATGGAGGGACGCACAATGGTTGTCTCAGTATTTGGTCTCTAAAGGGATCGCCGTGTTGCAACAACAGCCTAAACCGCCCAATATGTAACCCTATGATTTTTTTTGTTCCCTAGAATAAAATTGGTGCTCAAAGGTAGCTATTTTGTGTCGATTGAGGACCTCCATGCGGCGGCGACGAAGATAATCGCTTCAGATTTAAAAGTATTCGATGCAGTAACCGTATGTTGCATCAGGGGAAGATCACCACGCCTTTGGGTGGTAAGGCGGAGAGTGAGCTTCCTTCACTTGGTATTTCCAATTGACGCAAAACAGCGAAAAGAAGGAATAAATGGGTGTTATTGTTGATACAAAGAAAAACACTGACTAAATAGATAAAAACCAACATGAAGCACAAACAAAGTCAAGGTCCTTCTGTTTCAAACTCTCCTTTCCCGCACAAATCGCCAGCATATTTTCACTTAATTAAATAGAATTTATAGAAAATATCTTAAAATCACTTTATATCCTCTGCAAGCTTTTATTTTCACAAATTCGTCTGCGCTTTAAGTCTCTTTCAAAAAAGCTTATTTATAGAAGAAGCATTTATTCTGTTGCCACATCTACCTTACAATGATATCATGCATAAAACTGAGATTATAGCCAGAACCCTATGTAGCAAGCTTTGACTTTTTACAAACATGTATGCATTTGCAAATATAGAATCCATTTAGGTATATCGAAAGTCAACGCTTTCAAAAAAGCTTCATAAAGCTGACCTAATTTGAATAGACTTTGGCTTTCACTCACTATCTCTCTGGTTTTATCAATCTCTCTCTCTCTTCCTCTCTCCTCCTCTCTAATTCTTCTCTATCGCTATATCTCTCCCTCATATCTAACTTTCCATCTATGTATCGATTATTAACCCGCAAAACACCGGAACGTATAATTAATGCAACATATGTATGCCCTCCTCGGCAGCAGGAAAATTTCGTAATGGTAGAAAACTAAAATTTCCTACCCCACCTGCTTAAGAAGTCTGTCCATATACAAGTTCAGTTTAAATATTTACAAGCAGTGGGTTAATAGCGGAAAGAATTTATTAAAGTACACCTGCACCATTGAATGGGAATCGATTTTTATTTGAAAATAGAACAAACTCGTATATTACAACTGTAGGGCTAATTATTAATTAATACTAATTAAATTGTGGGCGGTAAGCTGAAGTAAAGTAGGACAAATGTATTGTATTATACTCGTATATCGTCCTATGCACATATGTATACATACATTTAAATAAACCATTTGTTGTGGACGAACATAGAATAAAATGTTAAAGGAAAATCAATACGTTCAGCGTTGAGCGTAACTAAATTTTTGATGCAACCCCAAGGATATTCAGAAGTAACTATAAAAATATTCTTAGTATTAGAAGTCGATATACTGGCACTGGTTGTGGTAGCAAGTAAGAAAGACTAGGTAAAATTAGACAAAACCGAACATCGCCTTCTCCGATTATAATAATTGCAGAAAACTTTGTAATATAGAAGGTCTTTTCTATATATGGTGGGTAGCCTTATTTTGGTCGCATATAAAGCAGCATCTAGGTAAGTTTGATTATGTCCTGTTTCCCGTTGCGTATTTCTATTAGATCACGGGTCTTATAGGCTCAAAATTTGTTCGAATTCTTTCATCTATTCCCGAGATATAGTTTCAACCCAAAGTTGTGTGGTGCCATACCCAATTGGAACTTTTTTCACTACAAAAGCTTTTCCGTTTAACGCTTTCGTCTCTAACAAATGTGACTTTCTACATTATCAAGTTGTCATGTTGTAAAAATTAAGATATATTAAGGTTGGTTGACTACGTTGCTTAGTAAACATAGTTTCCATAAATTATCTTAATGCTTATTAGCTATAGGCTAGATATACAAGGGACGGGCAGCCCAACGGCTTCTGACTCTGTTATTGCATTCTTTCTTCTGTCAGTTATCAGCTGTTACTTTTAGCTTGCTTTAGAAAAAAAGTGCGCGAAATTTTGCTTACATTTGTTTGTTTGTCGTCAATTTTATTATGGAGCCCACAAAGGAGCATTTTCGTCATATTTTACTTTATTATTTCCGTAAAGGAAAAAACGTGGAGCAGGTTGCTAAAAAGTTACGAGATGTGTATGGTGATGAAGCCTTAAAAGGAAGACAGTGTCAAAATTGGTTTCGCAAATTCCGTTCTGGAGATTTTTCACTTAAAGATGAGCCACGTTCAGGTCGGCCAAATGAAGTTGATGATGACCAAATCAAAGCATTAATCGAATTGGATCGTCATGTAACTGAGCGTGAGATAGGAGAGAAGTTAAATATACCAAAATCAACCGTTCATTATCACATAAAAAGTCTTGGACTGGTGAAAAAGCTTGATATTTGGGTACCACATGTATTGAAAGAAATTCATTTAACACACCGAATCAACGCTTGTGATATGCACCTTAAACGCAATGAATTCGATCCGTTTTTAAAACGAATCATAACTGGAGATGAAAAATGGATTGTTTACAACAACGTTAGTCGAAAACGATCATGGTCCAAGCATGGTGAACCAGCTCAAACCACTTCAAAGGCTGATATCCACCAAAAGAAGGTTATGCTGTCTGTTTGGTGGGATTGGAAGGGTGTCGTATATTTTGAGCTGCTTCCAAGGAACCAAACGATTAATTCGGATGTTTACTGTCAACAATTGGACAAATTGAATACAGCCATCAAGGAGAAGCGACCAGAATTGGTCAATCGTAAAGGTGTCATATTCCACCAGGACAACGCTAGACCGCACACATCTTTGGTCACTCGCCAAAAACTGAGTGAGCTTGGCTGGGAACTTTTGATGCATCCACCATATAGCCCTGACCTTGCACCATCAGACTACCATTTATTTCGATCTTTGCAGAACTCCTTAAATGGTAAAACTTTCGGCAATGATGAGGCTATAAAATCGCACTTGGTTCAGTTTTTTGCAGATAAAGGCCAGAAGTTCTATGAGCGTGGAATACTAAATTTGCCAGGAAGATGGCAAAAGGTTATCGAACAAAATGGCAATTATATATTTGATTAAAGTTCATTCTAAGTTATATTAAAAATGCATTTACTTTCTTTTAAAAAATCCGCAATTACTTTTTGGGCAACCCAATATATTCCTTATTCACAATACAGCCGAGTATCAAAGTGATTTTTTATTCCAAAATAAATTTTTTATGAAGCATTAAGCACATTTCCTTTTCCCAGTGAAACTTTCTTTGGTAAAATTTCGCTTCTGACAGCAGCTGAAAGGTCTCTTTGAAGGGTTTAACAGTTACTTGCCATTATTAAGACAATCCGTCATATCTTGTTTCTTGGTGAAAATATTCAGCTTGTTCTGTACTCATATTTTCTGAAATATCTGGAAGTTATCGAGAGGGCAAAAAAGATAAATAGTTTGAATTCATTGCTTGAAACGCGCTTAACATTTTCTGTCGTTTTTTTTGTCGTTATGGCCTCTGTAATTGTCTAAAAATTTCTTCCTGATGGCTTTAAAGGCATTTTCTTTGATGATAACTCATGCTGTGAAGAGTTGTGGATCAGAGATAGGTGGTTTAATATCCGGTCCAATGAAAGCTCCTTCTTTCAAATTTTAATTTGATGCGCTTGATAACCTTGGTAATGATTGCGTGAAACTTCTTCCACCTCTTGATAGTGATTTTTATCAATACCCTCTTCATTGTGAACACTTTTCGTTTCAGTGATTTATATGGTCTCAAGTATCACATAGAAATATATAGCAAGGGGATTTGGTAAGTTCACATTGTTGACCAAACAACATGCTCAAGCCTTTTAAAGAACCTGCAAACTAAGGTATTTTTATGTTAATTTGCAAAGTACCTAGTCAAACTTCTTGTATGTCGTACGTTTCTTTGATTTGTACGGAATGACCAACCTGGAGCATATACCATAAAGCGCTCAATAAGTACTGCCTTGAGACTTATTTTTGAAGATTTTATTAATCGCATGAGATCTGAGAACAAGCTTTTAACATGACAGAAACCGTTAGACGAGTCTCAAGACTTTCACAAAGACGTTATTGCTCTGTGTTTTATTTATCGGAAAGCGCAATTTACGAATGTTTTTTATAGAAATGTCCCAATATTCGGACTAACGACGGAGTACTACTTCTTTTTTTTTACTTTAGTTCAATCTTTCTACAAAACTTTTCAACACATTTTGGATGATTTGCAACCCCCATTACTCGCTTATCATCTCTGGATGGTATCCGTAGTATTCGTCATTAACTTCTGCCAGCAAAATATAGTTAAACAGAGTCAAATCCTTACCGCGAGGCGGGACAAATTATTTGTAGCCAACGTTTTACTGGCAGGTAAGTTGCCACGTTGAAAGCACAAATTCGACATGCTATTCATATAAATCATATATATTAGGTCAAGTAAAAAGTTCGTTCGGTTTTCATCTAAGAGATGGTGCTATTGTCCATAGTACTAGTGTTACGTGTCGCATCATGTCATGCTATATGATACGATACTGGAAACGTGTTTTTTCGCGCTAAAAATTTGTTTTTAACAGTTCTTTGATTGATTGACTCA